AAAAAAAAAAAAAAAAAAAAAAAAAAAAAAAAAAAAAAAAGAAACGAGGAAAATGAAATTGATTCGTCATTATCGCATCAACGATTTGTTAAAGGAAGTGAAGAATCCGGTACACGGAGACAGAAATAAGGCAGATGACGTGTCGTGGCCGTTCTACAATGCGATCGACGAGATTCTTGGATACGATCAGGGATCTACGCCGACCAACGACGTATACATCGATCCACGCGAGTTCCTCTGCGTCTCGGTGACACCGGAGGAGCTCACCTCGTTCGTGGACGCGCGATCTGCTCCGGAAATCGACCGTCGAGCCAACGATTCGCTTCCGGAACAGCGGTTGAGGACCCTCGGTGCTAATTGCTCGATCGAGATCAAGAAAGTACGGCCGGCTAATGCTAGCAGATACAACAGTCATTGCGAAAAGTAGGTTCACACAAGTATTTCAAATATGAAATATCTTTGAAGTAACCAGCTGCGAATAGTCGAATACTGCTCGATAAAATATATATAGTACAACGAGCTGAATGTCTTCGAGATGAACGAGCACTCCTGTGAACAAATATCGTACTGACGAGCATAAAGTTCGTAGAGTAAACTGAGTAGAAACTTGAATTCTACATCAATTACAAAAAAAGAAAAGTGTTCGAGTATGATGATCGATTCATCTCGAGTCGAAAGTTGTAAGTTTTAAAAAGAAATTTTTATTTAAAACACTGCAGCTGCCACTTTCATCGTTATTATTCCCAATTCATCGTCGTTTTTGCAAGGCTATCGTTGTTTCCTTTCAATCTATTATCGTTTCCAGGCAGACGGGCAAAAATTCGGTGAAGAAGAAACGAGTTACGCGGAACGTCGCGATCCCCCGGCTACCACGTGCCACGGAGTTAACAATCGAGAAAGTAACATCGACGGCGGATTGTTCCAAAGATTTATTCAGATTACGTGGAAGGAACGTCTCGTTCGATCGAGGAGAAGACGAGGAGAGATCGCAGCGTGACGGGGACGAGGTTAGGCCGAGAAAGTCGTGGAAAAGCCGTGCGGCGGCATTGTACTCGGACGATCGTGGATCACGAACCGATCGTCGCATCGAGCAGATTTTTGAATACATCAAAAAACGAGACGAAGAGAACAGATCGATCATGGTGCGGGTGATGCACGCCGTGGAGAACATCGCCAATAAATTGTGACCATTGCTGTGGATATAAAGAAAAAGAGAAGCAGTGTCAAATCACACTTTTTAAAAATTCGTGAGATTGTATCAGTGATACTTTTATTTATCTTCTTCGTTAAAAATAGGAACGTGAGAATGCTGAACGCATATATATTTCGTGAAATATCGTAGAATTATCACGAGCGTGATATCTGTATTTATTGTAGATTAAACTGAATGGAAACTTGAATTTTATATCAATCATGAAACGAAGATCGAGTTTAATACATACATATGAAGACAATTTATTTTGAACTGAAAGTTGGAAATTTAGAAACAAATCCGATAGAGTTAAAGGGGCTTCGAACTGAAATTATTCAATCATACACGTAAAAAATATTGCAATCGTAACGATAATTTAACTCATTAAAGCTAAACTTACATTCAAACAGACATAAAAAAAAAAA